GTCCACACAGGGGAGGTGATGGCATTGCTTTCATGTAAATTATGTAATGCACAATGTTTTAAATCTTAGCCTTAATAACTTAATAGTATTTTATTTTTGTTTTGTTTTTATTCTTTTTTGAGACAGGGTCTTACTCTGTCACCCAGGCTGGAATGCAGTGAGGCGATCTCAGCTCACTGCAACCTCCACCTCCCAGGCTCAAGTAATCCTCCCACCTCAGCCTCCTGAGTAGCTAGGACCACAGGAGCGCACGACCCCGCCTGGCTAATTTTTTGTATTTTTGGTAAAGATGGGATTTCACCATATTGCCCAGGCTGGTCTCAAATTCCGAAGCTCCAGTGATTGGCCCACCTTGGCCTCCCAAAGTGCTGGGATTACAAGCGTGAGCCACTGCATCTATTTTGTTTTATTGAATGAGTCATTGGGGCCATACTTTTTGTCCCTAAACTTGATGTGTATGAAGGCTTTTGGTCTCCCTGGGATTGGGTGGAGGTGTGAAAGTAGCAAGGGGTTACCTGTACACTGACTTGAGACCATTTCAACAAAAGTGCACGTTAAAAAAATAAAATACAATATTAAAGGCATAAGGGCCAGGCGCGGTGGCTCATGCCTGTAATCCCAGCACTTTGGGAGGCCGAGGCGGGTGGATCACGAGGTCAGGACATCGAGACCATCCTGGCTAACGGGATGAAACCCCGTCTCTACTAAAAATACAAAAAATTAGCCGGGGCACCTGTAGTCCCAGCTACTCGGGAGGCTGAGGCAGGAGAATGGCGTGAACCCGGGAGGCGGAGCTTGCAGTGAGCTGAGATCGCGCCACTGCACTCCAGCCTGGGAGACAGAGCAAGACTCTGTCTAAAAAAAAAAAAAAAAAAAAGCATAAAAATAAAATTATGTGTAACTATGCATGTATGAATTGCCTTAATTGAAAAAAATGAAATTATAAAATTGGAACTAGCTTGGAAAACACAAGATGTACAGAAACCTACCCTCCTTTAAATAATAGATAAAGCTATGGAATCGTCTCTAAGAACTTTTAAGACATTGTCTTAATCTTCTCAGGCTGCTGTAATAAGATGCCATCAACTGGGTGGCTTAAACAACAGAAATTTATTTATCATAGTTCTAGAGTCTGGGAAGTTCAAGATCAAGGTGCCTACAGATTTGGTGTCTGGTGAGAGCCGACTTTCAGATAATGTAGACAGCTGTCTTCTCACATGTCCTTTCCTCCATGTGTACTCATGGAAAGAAAGTCTCTCTCTCTCTCTCTTTCTCTTCTTATAAAGGCACTAATCCCATCATGAGGGTCCTACCCTCATGACCTAATCTAGACCCAATCTCCCAGAGACTCCACCTTCAAATAGCCATCACATTGGGGTCTAGGGCTTCAAAATATGAACTGGGGGGAAGGGAGACACAAACATTCAGTTCATAACAGAAATAAATCTTGGCCTAGTGTGGTGGCTCATGCCTGTAATCCTAGCACTTTGGGAGGCTGAGGCAGGAGGATTGCTTGAGACCAGGAGTTCCAGACCAGTCTGGTCAACATAGTGAGACCCTATCTCTATTAAAAAGAAATGAAAAATTAATATAATTAAAAATTTAAAAAGGACAGACCGCCAGTAGTGACCCACACCTGTAATCCTAGCACTTTGGGAGGCTGAGGCAGAATGATCACTTGAGCTCAGGAGTTTAAGACCAACAAAGCAAACCCTGCCTCTATTTAAAAGGAGGAGGAGAAGGAGGTGGGGGGAGGAGAAGGAGGTGGGGGGAGGAGGAGTGGGGGAGAAGGAGAAAGAAGAGGAGGAGAGAGGGGAAGAGGAGTAGGAGAGGTAGGAAGTGGGGGAAGAGAAGGAAGGGGAGAGGAGGAAGAGGAGGAGGAGGGGAGGAGAGGGAGGAGGAGGAGAAGAGGAGGAAAAGGAGGAGGAGGGAAAGGAGGAGGGAGGGGATGAAGAGGAGGAGGAGAAGAAAGAAGAAGGAAGAAGGAAAAAGAAGGGGGGAAGGGGAAGAGGAGAAGGGAAAGGAGGAGGAAGAAGGGGAGGAGGTGGCGAAGGAGGAAGAGGAGAAGAAAAAGAAGAAAAGAATGATAAGAATGCTGACTGCTTTATTTGAGGCTATAAAACATGGGAGGTTGGGAGGGAGTCTAGATAGGAGTAACTTCTGGCTTCTGTCCGGTCCCCCTTCCAAGAGAAGATTAATGTTATCCAATAATCCAGAATTCCATTGATATGTCATTGTCTCCATTACCCCCAGGTAATGGTGACTGATACAGATACAGGGGTCAGGTGGAGGAAGAACGTGTCTGGCCGGGTGGCTATTTTGGAGGGAATGACAGATGCTACCAGAGATTATCAATTTCTTAACGTTATTCTTTACAACTGGGTTGCCCCTTCTCAGATTGCCTGCAGAAAGGCCACCATAATAGCAAAGACGGTGAGGGGCTAGAAAAAGGAGAAATGTAGATGCTTTCATGACTTATTCATAGAAATGAACTTTTTAGTTCATCCTGGATGACTGACACTAGCAAATATTTGATTATCAAAACTCTACCCCTGTAGTTGGGTTTTCATAGTATTCATTGCTCTTGAAGAGCACCAAAAAATTTCATTTCAAATTTGACATATTTTGAGATGACTGTTCGGAAAGCCTGCAAAGCTGTCTTTTGTGGGGGAAATTTGCATCTGCAGAGAATCTGCATTGATGCAGACAGGCTTTCTCTGGTGCTCTCCCTTGTCTAGATCTAGGAAAGATTAAATGAGAGTATCTGGCATCTTTAAAGGCCCGACAGAAACTTTTACCATCTATTCCTTCTAAAGGCTACTCTCTGTGAGATTTCATTTGTTCACCAAGACTGTCTTTGCTAGCCAAGCCTCTTCTTCTCCGCCTCCCATAACCTGTCTTGCCACCAAAACCTGTTTTGCCCAGATGCAAGCTCCCATTCTTTCTGTAACCTCAAGGTGGTATAAAAGCAACCATTTGGCCATTTCTCTGAGTTTTTATATTCTGTATGACTTCCACACACGTGTGCATCAAATAAAATTTGCAGGAGACCGGGCCTGGTGGTTCACACCTGTAATCCCAGCACTTTGAGAGGCCGAGGCGGGCTGATCACCTGAGGTCAGGAGTTTGAGACCAGCCTGACTAACATGGCAAAACCCCGTCTTTACTAAAAATACCAAAATAATAATAATAATAATAATAATAATTAGCCCAGCATGGTGGCAGGCACCTGTAATCCCAGCTGCTCTGGGAGGCTGAGGCAGGAGAATTGCTTGACCCGGGAGGCGGAGGATGCAGTGAGCCAAGATTGCGCCATTGTACTCCAGCCCGGGCAACAAGAGTGAAACTCCGTCTCAAAACACACACACACACATACACAAAACTCCTTCTCCCCAAAGGCAAGGCAAGGGAGATTAATAAATGCGGTTGTACTTTCTCGATTCTGGTGAGAAAGCTGAAATCATCTGCTTAAAAAAAAAAAATGGGGCTGGACACGGTGGCTCACTACTTGTAGTCCCATGGGAGGATCACTTGAGGCCAGGAGTTCGAGACCAGCCTGGGCAATATAGTGAGACCCTATCTATAAAAAAATAAAATTTGGAAATGATGTATTTGTGTTGGAACCTCCGTGTTCTATACAAAAATATCCCAGTGCAGCTCCTTGGTCTCAGTAGGATGCATGAGCCTTCAACCTTCTCAGCCTGGGCTCAGAAAATTTCTTGGAGGAGATTAATTTGGAGTTTGGTTTAAAGGAGAAGCCAGTGGCAGCAAACGCTATTGGTTATGAGAGGTCTCTTTTTCTTTCACTGTCTTCCTTCACCTTCCCTAACTGCCATTCACTGGGCAGAAGAAATAAAACAAAGTGAACTTTGGCACATTCTTTTCTCAAGCAATGAAACTCTTATCCCTTTTGTCATGGCAATGGATCTCAGAGTTCACCTAATTCCCAGGTCCCAGATCTCAAACCATGGCCTGAGGCTAAAGAGTTTGTTTCCTAGGGTAGCTTGGAGCTTGTGGGTGAGGGGAATTACTACCGTGTCCTCGGCGTTCACCCAGAGAGGGACCAGAGATCAGCAACCACTGCCTCTCCCCCGCCAGACCTTGTCGGGCTCATGGGAAGCACATGGGTCAGTGTACTAGGGATTCCTGGCGCCTCAAGGGTTCAAGCAACCCTCACACCAGTAAAGGCGGCCCTGCCTCGCACAGGCAGGACGCGGAGGTGGAGAGTTGCGGGGCGCCATGCAGCCGCCAGAGGACGCAAGTGCCTCAAGTCCCCGCGCGATGGCGTCCCCCGGACCGGGAAGGAAAGGTGGTCCGCCTGCGAGGAGACGCGGACCCGGCCAAGGAGCCCACAGGGAGAGCCGGGCTCCGCCTCACCCCCGAGCCGTCGGGCTCCGCATCCGGCCCACCTGTCCCTCCCTGCCTACCAACCCAAGAACCTCACCCTGATCTGCGCTCGCGGGGTGACCTCGACGCCCGGGCGGGGACCGAGGGCACTCTGAGCTCTGCGCCCAGCTCCAAGACCCACTCCGGCTCCGAGGCGGAGGCCAGGTCTTCAGAGAGGAACGACTGAGGGGCCAAAGCCTAGGGGTAGCCCGCTTCAACCCTGGCAGCCGCGAAACAATGGCCCCAGGGGCTGCGGGCGCCGCGGCGGGCGCGGAGGAGCAGGGGCCCCCGGGCGCTGAAGCCCCGCCCCTCGGCCGGCGCCCTGACAACGCGGGCGGGCTGGGCTGCGCCGCCTGCTCCCCGCCCCTCGGCCGCCCGCACCGGGCGGGGCCCGGACCAGAGCGCCGCCGCCGCCGCTGCTGCAGCAGCAGCTGCTCTGCAGAGTGGTGGCTGGGGCCAGGGCCGGGGTGCCCTCCCTCCCACCTTCTCCCGCCATGAGCCAGGGAAGTCCGGGGGACTGGGCCCCCCTCGATCCCACCCCCGGACCCCCAGCATCCCCCAACCCCTTCGTGCATGAGTTACATCTCTCCCGCCTCCAGAGGGTGAAGGTAATGTGTAGGGAGCGGGCGTCGGAAGGACCCGTGGGGATAGAAAATGGGGCCGTTTGAGCCCTGGCAAAGGTGGGCTTGGGGATCCATGAGAAGGAGATGGCTGAGAGGCTTGCGGAGCTGGAGTCCGAGGGTGCGCACGTGGGGGCGGCCGCGGGTGGGCAAGGAGCCCTGGAGAGGACGCTGCGGGCTTGTGCGATAGACAGGCTCGAAGATGTGGAAGAACTGAGTAGGTGGGGATGGAGGACTGCAGGGGACCCTAGGGTTGGAGAGATGAAGGACGCTGGGGAATGCGGATTACATTCTGCAGAGCCCGATGGCTAGGATGGAGTTAGAGGCTACGGGAAGCCGGGGGTGGGGGCGGGGGCGTGCCGAGTGTTCCTCCGAGGCATGACTTAGAGGGAAGACGTTTCTGGGCCGGGAGCCTGCGACCTTGTGCCCTTTCCTACACTCCTTCTTCCCACTCCCTCCAACCCCCCTCCACCCCGCACTGCAGCACCTCCCGGTGGGGGCAGGGAGGCTGAGAGGGAGGTTGGCTACAGGAAGTGGAGGGCCGCGCCAGCCTAGGGGAACTGGGAGGTGGTGTGGGGAGGGAGTGTCCAAGGTTTCTGCTGTCATCACCTCCCTGGAGGCAGGCTCCAGGGGCTAGGTTTGTTTACCTGCTTCTTCCCCAAGGCAGCCTATGGAGTCACCCTGGCTCCTGGCAACTTCTCCCATGCGGAGTGGGGCCGAGCTCCTGTCTCCCGTGTCCCCCAGTACTATAGGATTACTGTTGAGCAGTGTTAGAAACTGACCTCGGGCCTGAAAACTGGACCTCTCGCTGTTTACAACCCTCTGCCTCCTAGGCCCGAAGTGGGAAGATCTGTGCACCTGGTTTCTGTTGGGCATAGGAGCTATTTATGGAACAAGATGTGGGGGAGGAGGACCTATCTCTAACCTACTGTACATCAAGCACAGCGCCCTGCACTTTCGCTTGCATTCTTATTAAATCCTCTAACTGCTAGATGCGTTTTATGACGTTCGGTTTTATAAGTGGGGTAGGGAACAACTGAAAGACAGGAAATAAGGCCCTTGATGCCATTAATCTTTTATCCTCTTGCCCTCATTGGTATCTTCATCCCACCTTGGGTCCCAGTCCCCTCTTCTGTTCCCACACCACCTGTCACATGCAAGGGATGATGGCTGTTTGCTCCCGGGTCTGTCTTTTGTGGGAGAGGGATGCTGTGGAGGGAGCATATCCAAGCTCTAAAGTGGCATTCTCTCGCACCCTTTGCAGTTCTGCCTCCTGGGGGCATTGTTGGCCCCCATCCGAGTGCTTCTGGCCTTTATCGTCCTCTTTCTCCTCTGGCCCTTTGCCTGGCTGCAAGTGGCCGGTCTTAGTGAGGAGCAGCTTCAGGAGCCAATTACAGGATGGAGGAAGTAAGTGGGGGATCAGCCCCCAGAGACCCTATTTCTCTTCCCTGCTGTCTATTCTGCTCCCTCTTTAAGAAGAAAAGGGAGGATTCTGAAACTATTCTGTCTAGCTTGGGTAGATGAGATGAGTCAGCCAAGCTCAGACGTGGTTCCCAGACCTCACCTCTAAGTAATGTGCCCTGGTACGTCCCAAAGTGGCCAGAGACCTTGGCCCCTTGGTCACATCCTATTTAAGGGTAAAAGAGGGGTGCCCTACTTTCCCGGTGCCTGAACCTGGGGGCGGGTGAGGGTTAGAACCACTGCGTCCGCTGATACCCAGCCTTGCCCTGGCAGGACTGTGTGCCACAACGGGGTGCTAGGCCTGAGCCGCCTGCTCTTTTTCCTGCTGGGCTTCCTCCGGATTCGGGTTCGCGGCCAGCGAGCCTCTCGCCTTCAAGCCCCTGTCCTTGTTGCTGCCCCACACTCCACTTTCTTTGACCCCATTGTTCTGCTGCCCTGTGACCTGCCCAAAGTTGTGTCCCGAGCTGAGAACCTTTCCGTTCCTGTCATCGGAGGTGAGAGGGTTCAAAGCAGGTGAAGGGGCAGGGTGACAACTCTGGGCAAAAAAAGTCAGGAATGAAGACACTGGAGAGTACTGGCCTCCAAGTGGGGAGGGACTGTTGGCAAGTGAAATATAAATTAACACCCTTAGTCAACCAGTCTTAGATTCTGAGGGCTGGGACAGAGAGAAGGTGTTGGAGGGAGTTCTGGTCAGTGCTCTAAAAGGACAACTACTATAAAGGGATTGTCCCAGGGCAAAGAGATAACAGGCCAGGCGCGGTGACTCACGCCTGTAATCCCAGCACTTTGGGAGGCCGAGGCGGGCGGATCACCTGAGGTCGGGAGTTCGAGACCAGCCCCACCAACATGGAGAAACCCCGCCTCTACTAAAAATACAAAAAAATTAGCCAGGCGTGGTGGCCCATGCTTGTAATCCCTGCTCCTCGGGAGGCTGAGGCAGGAGAATCGCTTGAACCCAGGAGGCGGAGGTTGCGGTGAGCTGAGATCAGCCATTGCACTCCAGCCTAGGCAATAAAAGCGAAACTCTGTGTCAAACAAAACAAAACAAAAAAAAAGAGAGATAGCAGAAACTTCTCACACTGTTGAGGAAGTGGAGGCTGCAGATGTTACTGCCCCTGGGTAGGAATGAAGTGATTCCTCTCTGTATCCTTCCCAAACCCAGCCCTTCTTCGGTTCAACCAAGCCATCCTAGTATCCCGGCATGACCCGGCTTCTCGCCGCAGAGTGGTGGAGGAGGTCCGAAGGCGGGCCACCTCAGGAGGCAAGTGGCCGCAGGTGGGTAAGGGTCTCAAGACCATCTTCTCACTTGCCATGTGCTCCTCAACAGGCTTCCCTTTCCTCTCTCCTCAGTCTTGTTCAGCCTTCTTCACCTCATGCTGCTCTTTTCCCGCAGGTGCTATTCTTTCCCGAGGGCACCTGTTCCAACAAAAAGGCGTTGCTTAAGTTCAAACCAGGTGAATACAATGATAATGCGTGATGGGCTGTAGGAAAAAGAAGTTCCAGATTTGGGGAGGGACTCTGAAGTAACCCAGGAAGTGGAAGGGTGGGAGGGCTGGGAGAGGAAGGGAGACAGGGGCCTCCTGGCTAATGCTGACAAGTTGGGGAGTCAGAGAGAAAATTATCAATGAGTGGAGCAAAGCCGTGTCTCGTTTGAGAACTGTCCCAGACCTCCATACCTCATGCCCTCTGCCTGCTTCTGTGTACTAACCTCTGCCTTGTGGGGGTGGGGGGTGGAAATGGGATTTAGGAGCCTTCATCGCAGGGGTGCCTGTGCAGCCCGTCCTCATCCGCTACCCCAACAGTCTGGTGAGTCTTCGTCCAAGAAAGCGTGGAAAGGGGGAGCACAAATCCACCCCAAATGGAAATAAGTGAAAACTGTTGGTGCGATGATGGGATGTGCACTGGGGGTGTGACCAGAGGTGGGATCAGGCCCTCTGCTCAAAGGTGATTGGCCAGTTCCAGGGGAAAAAGTAATGCTCTTCTGCCCTCACCTCTGTTTCTCCCATAGGACACCACCAGCTGGGCATGGAGGGGTCCTGGAGTGTGAGTTCTGGTGTTTCTCGGGTGAGGGTGGGGAGGAGGGGTCCATCAGAGAATTCCTGACCCATCTTCCAATCTCCAGACAAGGTGAATGGCCCTTCTTCATCTGAGGACTGAGAGAACTCTAGAGGAGACACCACTTTCCCCCTGATGTCCCCATATAATCTGGCTGTGCTTAGATTAGCTATCCCACCTAAATTGTTCCTGCTGTAATTATGGCTCCTATGCACTTATTGTCCCGTGTTTCTGTGATTTTCTCCCTCGATTATCCCTTCTTGAGAGCCCTCACCATCAGCATGCCTCTTGCCTTTTTCTTCCATTACTCAAACCTCCTCTTGCCTACGGTTCTTCCTCTGGCATATCCATGCAGCTCTGCTCTCGTTCTCTACCGCGTTTCTGGCCCTTCCGTGTGTCTCCCAACTGCATATTCACCCACCTGACTGTATGTCTAGGAGCCCATCCCCATATCAACAGGCAGAACTCTTCCCACTCCCCGCCTGGGTTGGGGAAGGGGAGTGGGGTGTGGGAGCCGGGGAAGGAGCCCATAGTTAGAGATTGGTGAGCATCGAAATCTCTCTTCTCTTAGACTCCAAGTCCTCTGGCTCACAGCCTCTCAGCCCTGCAGCATTGTGGATGTGGAGGTATGGCTCCCATGGGTGGGGTGGGAGAATGTACATCTCACACTCCTGAAACCTTGGGAAAAGAGGGTGGGAGTGGTCATACCTCACTCTGAGGTTCTGATAAGAATTGTGTGTGTCTGTGTTTCAGTTCCTTCCTGTGTATCACCCCAGCCCTGAGGAGAGCAGGGACCCCACCCTCTATGCCAACAATGTTCAGAGGGTCATGGCACAGTGAGTGCCCCACAAAGTATTTCCTGGAGCAGTTGCACAGGGCAAAGGAGCCACCAGGGGGTGGAGGGGGGGCAAGGTTTTCAGGCATAGATTGTGGAGCAGGCAGTGGGAAGGGCTGTTGAACAGCTGAGACAGAGGAGGGGAGATTTAAAGGGGCCTGATCTACTCCTCCAGTCAGCTTGCCAGGGTCAGGAACCAACCCTCAGAAGTTTCTCTGCTTCCTTCCCCTCCATCCTATCCCTCTTCATCCTGTAGGGCTCTGGGCATTCCAGCCACCGAATGTGAGTTCGTAGGGAGTTTGCCTGTGATTGTGGTGGGCCGGCTGAAGGTGGCGTTGGAGCCACAGCTCTGGGAACTGGGAAAAGTGCTTCGGAAGGCTGGGTAAGTGGTTTTGAAAATGAGGGTGTGAGCAGTGTCACAGAGAGAGAGAGAGAGAGGGAGAAACAGAGAGTAGGAAGGGGAGAAATGAGAAGCAGGAAGGAAAATCTTAAAAATGAAAAAATCTGGAAAGAAAGATAATGGAGTAAATAAAAGGAAATGGGGAATAAATGGAAGGATATGTAATAACGCAGGTGAAAAAAGTAAGAAGGGCTCTCAAGGGACTATGAGTCAGTACATCTTAGAAAAACAGCAGCTGAACCTGTACTGGTGGAACTCTTGGTACTGGGGCTGAAGTCCTGCTCAATGGTGTGTCCAGAAGGAAACTGAGACAGCTCTCTGCCTTCAACAATTCCATTGTAGGCTGTCCCCTGGCTATGTGGACGCTGGGGCAGAGCCAGGCCGGAGTCGAATGATCAGCCAGGAAGAGTTTGCCAGGCAACTACAGCTCTCTGATCCTCAGACGGTGGCTGGTGCCTTTGGCTACTTCCAGCAGGTAAAGGAGCTGGAACAAAGAGCAGAGCAGAACCCAGGCTTCCCTCCAGGCTGACACGTTCCTAGTGGCCGTATCAGTCCCTCACAGTTTGGAGTCCTCAGTGTATGTTCTAACAACTGTTGTTAGATGGCCATCCCCTGAAATCCACTGAAGATTCATTTTTTAATCAAGCATTAAGAGCAATGTTATCATTATGAGGACGAACAAGGTAGAAATAATCAGCGAGGACTATAAATTTCTGAAACCACTTGAGGGAGTGGCAAAGGTGGGGAATCATAAGACCTTGTGGGGCACTGGGTGAGGGGTCTTTGAAGAAGAGCCATGAAGGTTACTTGGGAAGATGACACGTAGAAGCAACAACACTGGACAGTTAGATGGTTGAGAGCTCGAGACCCAGATGTATCTGTAGGACTTGGGCAGATTATTTTAAATATCCTGTAGCTTCTCTAGAGGAATTTTCTCAAGATTCTTAGCAAGCCGTGTATTTCAAGATTTAACCAAGTTCCCCAGTCAACTTACAAAAGTCCTAAAGATTCTTAATGCTTATGAACAACCAACAATGGTCCCAAGGAGCTTTTTGATCTGAGATGCAGAATGTGACCCTCTGAAGGGACAGAGTGACCACGTGCCTAGATTCCTTAGATTGAGGCAGACTGTCCCTGAAAAGAGCTTCCCCGACTTGGCCTGTAGCAGAGCAGAAACAAATTCAGATGCCGTGGTCTCCCGCGGAGCTGGTACAGCAGGCATGCTCCTCGCGTTTTTTATAAGAAATTATGCCTGTGGCCCCCTTTCCGTCTGTTGGACCAGTTCTTCTGCACAGGCTGAGTCAGAGAGAACCAGTTTGTCTAGCCTGGGGACCAGGACTGCCGTCCGCTGGCATGTCAGAAACTTCATGGGAGCTTCAGCGTTCCTGAGGGATTCCCTGACATTCCTAGGAGATTCCTTTGTGGGAGGGCTTTGTCACCAGGTGACCTGAGAGAAATTCCAGTGATCCTAAAGAGTTTGGGGCTCACAGTTCTGAGGGGAGCAATCACAGGGATCACCCCTACTATTTGCTGAGAAGAGGGAGGAGTCAGCATTGCCCTGGTTTCTTTTTCACTCCAGGATACCAAGGGTTTGGTGGACTTCCGAGATGTGGCCCTTGCGCTAGCAGCTCTGGATGGGGGCAGGAACCTGGAAGAGCTGACTCGTCTGGCCTTTGAGGTACTGGGGGGCGGCGGGGGGGGTGTGCTTAGTGGCTATGCTCACCCCACTCCAGGAGGCCTGTTCTGGTATGCCGTTCCCAGTAGCGTCTAGATAGTAGGCACTTGGTATCCAACCGAGTACCACAGCGCCTAAAACTGCAGACCCCCAGCCTCTATGTTGAGGCCTAGCTGGGAATGAGAAGAAGGAAGAAGACGGAAAAAGCTATAAAGTCTACAGTTCTGCAGAAAGGGCACTGAGGGTCAGGGAAGGCTTGTGCACCACCCTTTTGGAAGAGGAGGAGCCTGTCAGGCCAGTCTGTGGGGCAGGGTGAGGCCATGGCACAAGGAGAGAACTTGACTCACATCCCTTTCTCTCCCAAGCTCTTTGCTGAAGAGCAAGCAGAGGGGCCCAACCGCCTGCTGTGCAAAGACGGCTTCAGCGCCATCCTGCACCTGCTGCTGGGTTCGCCCCGCCCTGCCGCCGCAGCTTTGCATGCTGAGCTGTGCCAGGCAGGACCCAGCCGAGGCCTGTCCCTGTGTGAGTCACTGCCTTCTCAGCCCCGCACGGGCACTTGGGGCACCGCCAGCATCCAGGAAAGCCCTGGGCTGGGAGGGAACAAGGGTTAGTGACCAGTGCTGGTGATCAGAGCCTGTGAGAAGTGAGGCTGGGAGGAACGGGCTGGAAAGGAAGAGAGGACACAAACCTGGATTTGAGAAGTAAAACACAGTAGAGGGACAAGATGTTTCAGTTCTGAGAAAAGAGCCGGGGGATTCTCTTCTCGTTCTTAGATCTTTTCACTTTTCCGCATCTCTGATTTGTCCAGGTCAGTTCCAGAACTTCTCCCTCCATGACCCACTCTATGGGAAGCTCTTCAGCACCTACCTGCGCCCCCCACACACCTCTCGAGGCACCTCCCAGACACCAAATGCCTCATCCCCAGGCAGCCCCACTGCTCTGGCCAACGGGACTGTGCAAGCACCCAAGCAGAAGGGAGACTGAGCGCCTCAGCCTCTCGCCCCTCCTCCTCAGGGCAGCGCCAGGGGCCTCCCCTGTGCCTCAGCCCCACCCCCTCCTCCTCAGGGCAGCGCCAGGGGTCTCCCCTACGCTCAGCCCCTCTCTGCTCCTGTTTGAATTTTGTTATTGTTGTTTGGTTGTTTTTTTTTTAAGTTGATTTTAATTTTTTGTTTGGCTGATTTTTTTTTTTGTAAAAAACTATTTTATATATAAATATAAATCTATATCTATTAAAAAAAGGAAGTCCAGTCACATTGACGTTATCATTACTTGGGAAGGAAAGCGATGAATGGTTGTAGGACGCCTGTTGGAAGATCCCGAAGGTTTCCAAGGTTCATCCTCTTGGCCATAGCTGGATGAGTCTTCCTCGCTATGAGATGGACAGGGCTCCTTCCTGTACAGAAATCATACTGAGGTTCCCTATCCTCCCTCCTGCTGTCATCTCCCATATGTACATTTTAACAGACTTCTTCGCGAACCTCTTTTCAGCGCATTCCCTCTTGTTCTGTCCTCATTAGAGATTAAAAAATAGCTTGCTACCATTCCATATTTAATAATCCTACTGAGACTTGATTCCATCGCCCCTAGTGGAAGCAAGGAGCTGTCAGTAAGGAACCAGCCTCCTCCCTGCAGGTCAGACCAGCCACACAGGAGGGTTTCTCTGCCACAGGATGAGTAAGGACACTGAAGTCCTTTCTGTCCAGCCTCTTTTCAAGGAGGAAAACAAGACCCCCAGAGACACAATTATGGACAATTAGAAAATTAGGCCAGGCATGGTAGCTCATGCCTGTAATCCCAGCACTCTGGGAGGTTGGGGCAGGCAGATGGCTTGAGCCCAGGAGTTCAGGACCAGCCTGGATGATGTGGTAAAAAACAGAAAAATTAGCTGGACATGCTGGTGCACACCTGTAGTCCCAGCTACTTGGGAGGCTGAGATGGGAGGATTGTCTAAGCCCAGGAGGTTGAGGCTGCAGTGAGCCATCATTACGCCACTGCACTCTGTAGTTTAGGCTACAGAAGGAGACCCTGTCTCAAAAAAAGAAGAAAATTAGATCTCTGTCTCAGAGATCTAACAGGTAGAAAAGCATCTTTCTATCTATAGACTTAAAGGGAGGCAGATAATTAAAAGATGCCCAGATAAGCCTTCCTGACACCAAGTCCAGGCTTGTGAAGAGGGGGTGTATAAAGCAATCATTGGAGATTCCTCAGTTTGGGGACTTATCACAGCCTGAGAGCCAGTCGGTTGGCAGGAGGAGGCTGCAAGGAGCCAAGATAAGGCTGGAGACAAGGTAAGCTCTATGGAATTGTAGAATCTAAGACTACCCCTACAGTCTTCTTTATAACATCTTACCCTATCTAGCAGCAAAGACACGAGTACAGAAAAAGGCACTTTGAGAGCATTTTCCAACAAAAACACTTTATTCGTTTTCTTTCTCTATAGCTGCTTCCAAAGGTGACTCCCCCTGCAGCCTAGCCAGTCTGACCTCTCTCTCCATGCTTGCCACTTTTGCAGAACAACAAAACAACATTGGGATGAGATTCAACATTGGGCTCTCCATTGGTGGGCAGCAGGGCTGGAATCTACTCTGGGGCACCCACCTTTAGGGACTGGCAAGTGGGGTCAGATGGTCCTGCTGCTCCCTACTGGCTACGACGTCGTTTCTTCCTTCTGCCTGTGGCAAAACTGTCACACCGCCTTTTACGAGGCTGTGAGGATCGAACTACTCCCAGAGCTAGGGGTTTCTCCCTGGGGACCCCAAGTTGAGCTCCTGAGTGGGATCTCTTTTCAGTAGGGGCTGGACCTCCAGCTAGAGCTCGCTTCCCAGACTTGGCAACGGGACACGGAGGTTTGCTGGGGCCTTTTGCCCCGGCAGGGAGCAGGTGGGATGCTCTCTGGCTGCCCTGACCTGAGGCATGGTGAGGACTGAGAGGATGCCCCCTTGGTGACAGGCTAAGTTTAGAGGCCAAGAGGTAAGCAAAGTTGGAGAGTTCCTCATCCTCTTCCTCTGCCTCCTTCTTCTTTTTCTCCTTTCCTTTGGCCCTATCTGCTGACCTGCGTGTTTTACTAATGGAAGTCTCTCTCAGAACTCTGGCGTCCCTGGTTCCCCATCTAGGGAAAGTGCTTCCAAGGCCCTGGTGAGATGATGTTTTGGGGGTCCCAGTTGTGTAAGACTCCTGACTCTCTTGTAAAGGAGCAAGGTTTTTAGGCTCGGACAGGTCAGGATCCACCCTGCCTTCTCCTTGGGGGTCATAAGAATTAACATTCAATGGGCAGGTGTCCTTGCTGACCCTTAGTTGGAGGCCACAGTCATCTTTAACACCTAGTATGTTGACCGGTTCTGTGGTTTCCAACAGAGGAGAAAAGGAATTGCCTCTGCTCCCTGCCTCTTGGCTGGCTTCAGGCAAGGAGGAGGCATCCTCGGTCCCCATGATAAGGACACTGTCTTGGCATGTGGGCAGAAGGGTTTCTTTGGAAGACCCCAGTGTGGAACCGCCAATTCTGCTTTCCAGCAATGGGAAGCAGCCTCCTGCCCGCAGATCACTGGGGTCCCCTGTGGTTTCACGGCTCTGCTCTTGATTTTCTTTGGACCTCAAGGCTGGGCTGTTGGCCCTCAAAGGTCCTGGCAAGCTGCAGTCATTTCTCTTTTCTAGGGCAGCTGCCGCAACTGTGCCTCCACAGGGAATCACACTGCTCTCCGTACCCCCCGGTACCATGGTTTCTCCAGGACCCAGGGAAATGCTGCTGCTGGAGCCCAGGCCCTGGCAGCCTTCCTGACACTCAGTTACACACGCCTCCGCTTGGAAGCTCTCTATGACCTCCTCTATGTGTACGGGCAGCTCCAAGTCTACAGCAGCCATCTCACCGCTCAGCCAAAGTCCTGGGCTGAGAGAGACGTCGTCCCTGTCCCCAGCTGCTCTAGGGGAAGGATTCTGATCATAACTCTGAGCCATGGGGGTACCTCTGTCATCTCCCCACATGGCTCCTGCAGAGCCTTCCTGGGACACTGCTAAAGGCTCCTTCCCTTGAGGAAGCTCTGCACGGCCCCCCGTTTGTTGTCCTTTCTGCGATCCCAGGACCTGCTTTTCTAACCCTCGTCCCTGCAGAGGAGCCAGCTCTGCAAGTCCAGCATCCAAACTGGGAGTGCTGTCAGGCTGGAAGCCTTCCTGCCAACAAAGGGGCAGAGCCTCTGAAGTCCTATCAGCCACCAGGCAGCGCCCAGGCAGCCCTGCGCCTCCTAGATGGCCATCTCGAAGTCGCGATACCTGGTTTCTAACCTTCCCAGACCCTCTCCTCTCCATACCCAAGGGTCCCAGAGTTCCCTGGAGAGCTGCAGGTTCTGGCTGCAGGTCCCAGCTGCTGGGGGATGGCAGAGTGTTCCCATCCCTGTGCATCCCTCTGGGGCTCCCTAGGCCTTGCTCCTGCCCACCATGCACTTCTCTTGCCCGTTTTCCTGAAGAAGAAACCTTTCCAAGGCAAATGGCGCCCCCAGCCCCCTGAAGCCCAGGGGAGGGTCGAAGCCGCCCATCCCCATCTTCATCCTCATCAGAAACAGAAGGACTTGAGTCCAACTGAGCTCCACTGTAACTTGGAGGCGCCTCTGCATCTTCCTCCTCTTCCAAGGCCAAGAGTCGCTTCTGGACCAGCTGGAAGAAATGGACAAATAATCAGTGCTATACATGATTGCGAAAGAGGTGACTGAGTGGGTGGTACAAGATGGTATTTGGGCAGGGCAAGGAAGGCAAGCAAGTAGTTTAAGCGATGGTAGCAAAGACAGATACTGCAGCTCTTTCCCACCTCCTTGTGCCCTATTCCCATGCTGTGAGCCCTAACATTCTCATTTCCTGTGTTTCCATAGCCCTCTACCTACTGGTTCTGCACCTGAAACCCAGTCCTGAAGCTGTTCATCTCTAGAGCCGTATCACCCTTGGCAGTGTAGGGTTAGATAAAATCTTGCAAGCTTCTTGTTCTCATATTTCCTTTACCTGGGCAAGAGTGAGTCCTTCTTCTTGCTCTAGCTCCTCAATTAAGGCCAAGGGATCTCTCTGTTTTTCTGGGGACAGCAGATCTGCCAGAAATTGAGGGTGAATGACGGCCTCCACCTGGATAACAGAAGGAAAAGTGATGTAAGTCTGTAAGCAGGTAACCTGTGAAACAAGGGGCTTTAGAGAAGAAACCATGAGCTCCCCAACTGTCCCCTCTTACCCCTCCGGTATTGTAAACTGACCACCACCGGCTACACACATTCTCATGATGATGCATGCACACACATTACTCAGTTACAGAACAAAACCTCATTCCTACTACCTTGGACAAAGCCCAGATCATTAGTTCCCGGGAGTACCCACCCCAAGGATCTGCTGGAAACCAGATGTGCAGGCCCAGCTCACCTTGGAGACAAAGACCTTCTGAGAACACAGCTCATTGATGTAGCTCAGGAGACCTGGATCTGGATACATGCCTTCCTCCTCCTGCTGCCCTTCTTCCTCTTGTTTTCCATCTGACTCCCCAGTGGCCAGTTGAGTCCCCACCAGCCCTTCCATGATGTCAATATACTCCTTTACAGCTTCTGGTGGGATCTCCTTGGGCGCCTCAGGAACAGGAGGTCTCTGGGCTTTACGCTGACGCCGGCGGGGGGCCCGTGCCTTGGAGGCTGCCTTCTTCGGAATGTACACTAAGGGAAGAGATAGATAGGAGAATGGGAAGTAGCACAGAAACTACAGCTTCTGCCTCCCAGCTCTGTGAGGCCAGCAATCTAGGTACATTGAAATGGTTCCAGGCTGGATTGGGCCAACCTGAAAAAGTGCCAGCCATGGGAGATTTAGGATCTAGAGGGCCTAAGAATCACTGTATGAGGAATTTTGGAATCCCTGAAATTCCAAGAAACCCCCCCGATCCAGCCCCCATTTCTTAGGCAGATGAGGCATTATGTGCTGAATTTAGAGTCTTGGTGAGAGCAGTTAGTTTACTTGACCAACATCAATACCTAGTTCAGGGCAAAAGGAACCTGAGAACCCAGCCTCCTATGGGGTGGTCTGCATGGAATATCAAATGCCACTCTCCAGAGGGAAAGCGGCAGAGCCTGGGCCATGCCTTCTCTAATCTGTGACTGGCTTCTGTACACCTCCCTTTGAGCCTTTGGCCCACGGCTCCTGTCAAAATTGGGTAGCCTCACCTGGCTGCTGGCAAACCTCAGAGGC